CCGAGCGAACAGTTGTCGGAATGCACACAGTGAAAATGAGGGAGTTTCCAGATCTTGTTCCAGTAGGATCCGGCTCAAATTAACCACTGGATGTATTACTAAGTTCTTAATCTTTATGCCATAAGTCAGAACCAGATCAAGAGCGTGATGATGAGAATGAGTAGATGTTTGGACGTTTTGGGTAAAACCAATTGATTCTTTAATAAAGGCATTGCTTAAGGTATCACTTTCAACATCTACATGAATATTGAAATCACCCATTATTATGATGTTATCAGTATTTAATAATAAGTCAGATAAAAAAATCATAGACTTCAGACAAAAACCGAGCATAGGAGCCTGGTGGACGATATATAACAACCAGTGAGCGTGGCCGTTCAGTTTTCCATTTAGGATGGGATAAACTTAGAGACAGTGACTCAAAAGTATTATAACTACTACTTGGTTTAGTATTAATTATTAGTCCCGACTGAAAAATAGAAGCTACACCTCGACCAGTTGTTCTAGGAACATAAAAATTTTAATAATTGGGTGGCGTGGATTCATTTATACCAACAAAATCCTCCTGTTGTAGCCAAGTTTCTGTCAGACACAATAAATCAATATGATGATCAGTTATCAGTTCATTAACTAACAGGGATTTAGATTTTTGGTTTATTTGATTTGAGCCGTGGGCGAGTTGGCATTGTTTCAATGGGGTTTTGGGTGGGTAACAGAGGAGAAGCAGAGATTCTTCTTGTGGTTTTGGTTTCTGGCGGCCATCACCTCAGTGGCTTGTCTTCTCTCTGCAGGTATGGTGACATGGTTCCCAACACCATTGCAGGGAAGATCTTCGGTTCCATCTGCTCCCTGAGTGGCGTCCTGGTCATCGCCCTGCCGGTACCAGTCATCGTGTCCAACTTCAGCCGAATCTACCACCAGAACCAGAGAGCGGACAAGATGAGAGCACAGCAGGTCCAGTTCTTTCAGTTTCAGAAACAAACACAAACAGAAAACAGAATTCTTTCATGTCTTTACTGATGGATAAAAACTGAGTGGTTGGGTTCACATTCTGGGGGGTCAGAGTCTGGAACAAGTGTAGTTCCTATAGTCAAGGTTTTTTTCTATGGTCCAGGTGTAGTTTCAAATAAATCAAATGTATTTATAAAACACATTTAAAAACAGCTGTTGTTGGTCAAAGTTCTGCACATAATACAAAAGTGAGAAGACAAAAGAAAGACAGGAGATGATAAAACATAGATTAATAAAAGAAAAAAACATATAGTCTGAGATAAAAACATAAAATAAAACCAATAACAGAGGCAATAAATAAATTAACGCTCAGGCTGTATTAACAGAGAGTACAAATAAATGTTCTTTAAGATGACACTAAAAACACCAAGAGTTGAAGAGGCAGCTGGTTCCACAGTTCAGCAGCTGCACCTGAAGACCTCCTCTCTGTGGACCAGCCTGGACTTCAGAACAACCTAAAGCAAATGATCATCAGATCTCAGGGATCTACAGGACACATGGGGCTGCAGGAGGTCCAACGGGTCTACAAGAGTCATCCATTCAGAGTCTGACAGGTCAACAATGTAACATTAAAATGAATCCTCAAACGGAGCCGATGAAGAGAAGCAGCCGCGGGGACATCTGTCCACGCTTCTTTGTGTTAAAGACGACCTGCAGCCATCTGGACCAGCTGCAGACGAGAGGCCGGCCCGGCTGACAGGGACACACAGGAGACACTGCAGGAGTCCAGCAGGGAGGGAATAAGAATCAACCGTTCTGAGTCTTAATAAAAATGATTTCAGTTCAATTTCTGTAGCTCCAAGTTCCAGCAGAAGTTCTCAGGACACTGAACAAAAATATTAACATGCATCTAAGCCTATAGCAGCATAACTAAGAGATAGCTCAGGAAACCCAAGTTACCCCTAACTATAGGATTTATCAAAAAGGAAAGACAAGACCAGTCTTCAAACTGGACAATGTGTCAGCCTCACGGACAGAAACTGGACGTTGGCTCCACAAGAGAGGAGCCTGAGAACTGAACATCCAGGCTCGATTACTGCAGTGCACTTCTGTTTGGAATCAGTCAGACCTCCACTGCACGACTACAACTGGTCCAAAATGCTGCAGCACTATTTTTAACTGCTACAGACAAAAGAGAGCACATTACACCAGTTTTGGCCTCCCTGCACTGGCTCCCAGTTCACTTTCAAATTCAGCTCAAAATCCTTCGATATGTTTCTAAATCACTGAACAGTTCTGCCCCCTCTTATCTCGCTGATCTGCTGCAGCCATATGTCCCACTGCGCTCTGTGAGGTCAGCAGACCAGATGCTTCTTTTGGTTCCAGGAACCCGTCGTAAGCTCAGAGGTGA